TGAGTGAAAGAGAAGTTGTTTCTGACTACCGCAGAGAAATACAAAGGGGAGTTTTAATGTTAACCTTCATTCTGATAACGTAGCTCTTTAACACATTAACTCATACGTGTGTGTGCGTCTGTGTGTGCGCGTGCGTGTGTGTATCTTTACGTCTCTCATGTCTTTAGTTATTTCACTCATAAAGACAATTCAGACTTTGGAAAGTAAACTTTGTGGCTTGCTTATTTTTTTTTTTTATCCACTTACTTTATTCTAATAAAAAATGTTTTAAGCCATCTATTTTCTCTGTTCCTGGCAGCTATTCTTGTGACTATAATTGCCTACTTTCCTTTCTGGCTGATCTATTGCTAGTCTTTATCTGGATGTTATTAAACAATATAAACGCTCCATAGAGCACCGTAGTCTCAGCCAGAATATTTTCAGATTCTCGGCTAAAATGGAACGGAACTGGTGCTTTAGCTGTTAAGTAAGTAGCTCAGATTTGTTGTCAGAGTGTGTGAGGGGCTCTAAATTCATTACGTTAGTTGTTCCTGTGAGGTAGCATTTGAAAAATAGCTTCGGCTGTTTATAGATCGTGGTCCTTGGGCACCAGATAGTGGATGTTGGAATGTATTGCAGAAAAGCTGATTAAAGTACTAGGATCTCTAACAGTAAGAGTAGAAAGTCAATTGTAATACCTGTGCCTGACTCTGTTGGATGCACTTAAATATTTCCTTTTGAAAGCTTTGGTTTATTATCAGCTTTTCCAGGAGGAATAACATTTTTGCAAAAATGTGCCTTTTGGTGAAAACATCAATAAGCTATGCCTGATGAGAAGTTTATGGAGGTAAACTGATTCGAACTTTGAGGATCCCGAATACTTTGCAGTTTTATTATTACCTAGCTTATTAGAGTCATGTTTCACTATGACTAAAATTTCAATAGTGGTAGCTACTTTCAGGTCATAATTTTAATGTGTTTTTATTGTATATCAGGAAATTTACACTTACTGTAAAATACAAACTATGTCAGAATTTA